CGCAATGCTGTATACGTGTACACCGTTGTACGGAATTTTCGAGTTTGGGTTTCGCGTTATCGTTGGAAGGTGCGGCAGTTTGTTCCGGGTTTTTATGAATTCATGAAATTCATTTCGGCAGGTATTTGTTTCATGAAAATGATATGATAATACCTGCTACAGGTTCTCATAAAGTTTCTTGATTCGCTGCTTGATAAAAATATTTAAATGGCCCCCGTTTGGGTACTGTACGAGAATATTATAATACTGTTTAAGTGATTTATCAACAAAAATCTGTTATTTGCTTACTCGGACTGCTGATATTGTGTGCCGTAGTTTCGTATTTAATGAAGGAATATACTGAACTAAAGTGTAAATATAGATACACTCCTAAAAATTCACGTTTGCGTTCCACCATTTAATTAACACTTAACCATGAAAGTAAAACGCCATAATACATTCCCTATCTTTGTTTTTCTACACGGTGTACGCTTTCGAGGGAAATAAAAACGTAAGCTAACCGGAGTTCAAAGGAAGTAATGTGCTTTGTAATAAAAATAATTCGGAAAAAAATATATTCTTCGTGCAGTTAATTCTGAAATTACTCTGTCTGCGTTTTATTCTTATTCCTTGGGAATCACTTATCAACCCGTCGTGCAAAATCCATTTTTAGTCGCACGTGCAATGGTATCGTATTTATGTTACTCGTATTCCCAAGTCGGCAAATAAATCTACAAAGCGGATGTCATAATTAAAATTTCAACATTAAATATACGACGCGCAAGACCGTGCAACGTGACTTTGACCAACAAATTTTCGTTTTTAATTACGAATAGCCCGGCGAGATTAAATTAAAGCGTCGCGAATTCGTATAACTGAAAAATCAAGAGCAACAAACACGAGGTTTCCCTTCGTTTTCAAATTATTAACAGTCAAACGTTTTCCTGCACGTGCCAGTAATGGCGCGCGTGAGGCAGGTCAGTTCGGGGGCCGACAATGATGCGCCGTGTAAAGACGGACATAGAAAGTTGACCCGCGCCGCGCAATTGACGTGACTCCGACAAAAGTTCGTCCGAATCGGTAGCATCGCGAAAATTATAAAAAAACGTAACATCAAAGTTAACTGACAAAGCTGTTACGTTGTGGATTGTTGACACCAAAATGTCATGTCGCAATGACACGTGCGAGTTTCCCGAATTTGGTTGCGTTCTTGTCTAACCGGAGAAAGAACTTTTGGAATTCTTAGAAATATTTTTATTTTATAGATAAGTTAAACGTGGATGGAATAGAAGTTCTCTTCTGATTTTTGCTCTTTGGGATAAAGAAACTTCGGGAAATGGGAAAGCAGCATTGTAACTGAGGAAGTTAAAGAGGTTAAATATTGGGTTGTCAGCTGGAGTAACACAGTTGCTTATAGTTAGATATATATGTATACATAATATTAACAAGAATATTTGTAGAATGGCAATGGAAATAATGTTAATGTCAATAATACTAATAATTATAACAATAATAAAAGAACAATAGAGATATTCTTGAAACTTGGTTTGACTCGTTTCAGAGGGAATAAATCGTCTATTACAAAGTTGTGACGAAATAGTCAAATAACAATAATAATAATAATAATAATAATTACCATGCTGTATAATAACACTAGAACTATGAAACAGGTCAAATCGACTCATTCCTAAATTCTTCTATCGCAATTACTAACTTTTCTGAGAAATTCCTGCTGCACTCTTAGAGTTCCCATAGAAAATTTAAAAAAAATTCAATTTCACTCCTCGGTACTTTTAGTGTTAAATAGTTAATGCAGCGAAGTAGCATAACATACGACAAAAAAAGGGGGAGAAAATATTCCAAAGAAACGAAAACAGTTGCTTCGTTCGGTATTCGGCCGTGTTCAACATGGCGGCGGGACTTGAGCAAACTGTTGAACAAAATTCTTGGGGCTTAATGGTCGTCGGTAGCGGCTGAAGAAGGAAAAAAGGAGGTTTTAAACGCACTTTTACCTGAAGCTGACGCAGGAACAATGGAATCGCGTAGCGGGCGAGCGAAAAAGCCTCGCAGACCGTTGTCCACGTGCCAGCTTCAGGTGCAAGCCGGTGAACTTTTTTCCGCTCGCGCGCCGCGAACGTAATCTGTAACTGCCAGCCACGTTCCCGTCGGCTTTCCTCTTTTTCGCAGCCACGCTCTGCCTATGGTTGTTCAAGCGAAACTAAAAAGAAAGAGGGAAGAAAAAAGAAAGGAAAAATGGAAGACATTAAAAACGGAACGCTTCTTTCCTTCTCTCTCCCGCTTTCTTCCGTTGTTTTTTCCTTCCTCCGCTTTGTTTTACCGACGAACCTTCTGTGTCAATGACCACCGACAAAATATTGCGATCGCCGGGGTGTAAATGAAAACGGGATCGACGATGACGCGATATATCACTTTGATTGAAAGCTTTATTGCTGTCTGCGAGCGGACAGCCGCGAAACGATCGTTTTTGATGTCCTGATAAAATTGAGGACGGGGCCGGGGCACGCGCGCCCGCACGCCAGGCGAAATCAACGGTAATAATGTGAATCGACAGTTCTTGAATTTTCATTCCGTCTGATGGGTGTTTCGAGTTGCGTACACCCCGGTGAAATATAATAATTTCGATCGCTCGAGCTGGCCGGGCCAGTGAAAAATTCATTTTCGCTCGACACGCGCCGCAGGGAGCCGAGGCGACGCTTTCGGCGCGTGTAACCGATGATGAAAATCCGCGAAATTTATAACGATACTCGAAATATCAACAATGCCGGTGTCCCTTTGAAGCACAAATCTATCGAATCATTTTATTTGCGCGGGTGGAACGTGAAATTCGAAGGAACGCGCGTCGCGCAGTGGGGAACATCGCGGATTCGCTGGTTGGAAGACGGTGATGGTTCGACAAACAAATATAAGCTAATTTTCGAGTTATATTGAAATGTTCTTTGGTGATTGTACGAAAATGCTTATTCACTTGGATAGGGTTATATACAATGCACCCCTTATCCTGTGATTTCTTTCACAACTGTACTTGATGAAGCTACATAGTTTATCTTTAATTATTTTGTAAAAGAGGAAAAGGATCTGATGGTTGTTCTGTGTCTACGTTTACTCTAAAAGTTAAAGATTGGCGATAGCAAGTAATATTTCATTTATGTGAAAAATAAATAAATGACATTTAGATTTGTCGAATTTAGTTGGAAATTGTTATGAGTCTGATACAATTTCATAGAAGAAGGGGTTATTATTGCTATTAGCAGTTATTTGAACTGTATTATTACTGTATACTATAATATTTACTCTTAACTATTCATTATTATTTATATTCATGTATTTGTACATTTGTGTACTATTTTTCTAAGGAACTTATTCCGTTTATTGTTAGCAAAATATGATTCTGTTGGGGGAAGCGTTAATTGGAATGTTAAACTGTTTCCCGCCGCGGGGTATAATGATTTGCCCAGACGCGGCCTCCCAGCCTTTGCGTGTTGAATGTTCAACTTTCGTAATTGCGCGCAATTAGAAAATAATTATTGTTCCCGAAAACTTCCTCAACATGGAACTTTTCCGTGGCCGTTCCCTACGTTTCCCTGGACAACGTGTAGGCGGGGGATAGAATTTTTTTCAGTTGGACGTTCGTTTAATAAAATCAACGTCGAATGTACCCGGATTCAGCATATATCATATCTAAGCGGCACGAATAAAAATTAAATTAAAAATAACTAAACTGATGTTTCACTTCTACGAACTGCGGTTTTCCTAACCGCTTAAACAGCTTAAAAAGATTGCGTGTTACGAAAGAGAACGGAAGTATTAGCGAAAGGGATGATAATACATTGGAGGCAAGATAATGTTCATGTAGAAACTGAAAACTTCGCGGTAAATATGTTCGCTAGATAATAAGTTGGTTTGTTTCAACATTCAAATACATTTATCACTGTGTATATATACTTCAACAAGGAACAAGGAATTTCAACGTTCGCAGAGGTTCGAAACAAATATCTCCGTTTTTCAATTCTCCAGGTACGAGGAGAATAAAATACAGTTACGGTATTTTCGTAATTTCATAATTAGGATTGTTTTTGCGTCCGGGATCCTGAACAACTTCCGTTAGGAACAAAAACGGGTAATTCATCAGAGGAAATAGATTTTGGTTAATTGGGCTCGTTTTAATCATGGCGGATATTATTTAAATAAGGTGGATGGAATATAATAGTAACTTGTATGAGAAGAGTCTGAGAAAGTTATTCCTTCGTATAATTAAATAGAGGATGGAGCCAAGTTGGGCAGAGATAGGGGGAGAAAGTGGTCTAAGTAGGGTGTTTCTTTAAAATGGGGGCTATGGAGGATGTCTACAAAAATCTGGGTCAGAGCTGTCCAAGCTAGGTTCAGAAGCCAAATCCATTTCCCATTCTATCTACGTTAGCACTGTAGAAATTGCGGCTGGCGCAAGCTTGTACACCCGAAAAGTAGTTAACATCATTATTCTGAAAAAAGTGTGCGATGATATTTCCATATTTTCTGTATTCCGTGACGGAAGACCATTAAAATATAAATGGGTTTACTTGTTCACTAACCTTACTAGACAATTACGGATAAAAGTATTCGTTCGCTGTGTCCCTTCGTCCGAACTTCTCACAGAGTACCTTAAAAGAGTCTCCGTTTTAGGGCTTAGGAGAAAACAATAGAGTTTCTAATCAAGAAACATTGAAGTAATCCACCACTATACATTTCGAGGGCAAAAGTAATTTAGAAATTTACGACAGAATTTCATGACAGTCGAAATTTTTCTCCAAAGATTAAGCACCGTTGAAAATTGATATTCACTGTAATTAACGAAGCACGCTCCGAGTTAAGATACACCTACTTTTTTTAGCGTTTCTGATTCAACTATTTTCACAAGAACTAAATGTAAACACTGTGTACACAAGCACCAGGAACAACGTGACGAACATAACAACAAACAATCCGTGATCTATTCGTCGCTATTGATTTCTTTCTCATTGCAGCACCATTGTCGGAACTGCGGGAAGATCTTCTGCAACGCGTGCAGCGACAACAGCACAGCCATGCCGAACTCGGCGAAACCTGTCCGCGTGTGCGACGAGTGTTACGTGTTCCTGGTCGGCCGATACTCGTCTGGTCGCTAACGTTCCTGATTCGATCGGTCGGATAGCGTGTAACGACGTCGTAGGCGGAAGGAAAAGTTGTAACGGGCGAAGAAAAGAGAAAAGGGGAAATCACGGGGAAAGGTAGAAAAAGAGGAAATCGCGGGGGAAGATAAAAAGAAGATAACATTGAAGAAAGATAAAAGCGAAAATCTTAAAGAAAGTCGAAAAGTGAGCATCACGATGAAAGGTAGAAAGAATCTCGATGAAAGGTAAAAAGGGGAAATCGGGGAAAAAAGATAAAAAGGGAGAAACCGTGAAGTTAAAGGAAGGGGATGATTGCGAAGAAAAACAAAAAGAGAAAAGGAAAATCGCGAGCAAAGAAAAAAGGTCTGAGTCTGTTTGTCTCACGCGCGTACACAAACGACACGCATACACGCGCGCGCGGCCCGGACAAAACGTAAATAGTATGTCGTGTTCCTGAAGGTCGTGCGTTCACCGGAAGCCGTTCGTTCATTTCCGATTCGACGCACGCGCCACTCCGAGAAGGGGATTCCCCGCGTTTCGCATCCAACACCTCTCGTCGCTATCGTATCGCGACATTTTCTACGATTCAGTTGACGTCGGACCACGGTCCGCCGATTTTTCTGCCGTAAACGCTGGCGAGGAAGGGTCTTTGCGGCTCGACGGGAATACCCGACGAGCGAAAGCGGTTCCGTTACTTTTGCCCCTTTCCGATGCACAACCCCCCGCGATTCGTCGCGAACGAAACAATCAAAAGACGATGTCTTCGTGGAACGAACACGACCACCGGAACAGTCGCGTGAATATTTTTAATCCCTTATTCGCGGCGAACAACGATATGTCGTTGTTGGCAACGCTTGGCCGATCGGGTTCGAAAGAAATTATTTTTACGAGATCAAGGAAGAATAAACGAATGCCAAACGTATTTCAATATTAGACAGCGTTCTCTCGCGATGCGGATAGGCATCATCAATATATCGAGATTTTTTGCAAGTGCTACCAACAACGATGCATCGGTGTTCAGCATTGTAAGGGTTAATCTTCGGTGTCCAGGATTTCAAGATTTTCAACGTTCTCGGGCATTAAGTGTTATCCATATGTGATACCATATGTGTAACCGTATTGGTAAACAGCATAAATTAGTGGACTATGGATCTTTATGCATGTTGATTTTCTGGGAAATTAGAAAGTATAAACTTGCGCGATATTCATAAAATATAACAAAATATGTGACGCATTCGAAGTATAGTGCTTTTTGTAATATCCTTTAAGGAGGACCATTTTCTATCGTAATTCTATTCTTCTAATTACGTTATCAGAAATTCAAATTTGCATAAAGATCTGCAGTCTGCGAGTTAGTATCGAAAATGTCTATGTTGTTTTTTATTTTAATGAAATTATTATTACAATGTATAATATTATAACAGTTGTTATTAAAACAGTGGAAACGCGTGTACCAGTCAAGATTTCCTTACACACTGTCCTCGAGCTGAACGAAGATGGAAAATATCCGTCGCGGAGGAGGTTCGTTGTATTCGTTCCATCGCATGCACGATGCTATATTATAACACTTGCGTTGTTACTTTGTAACGTTTTCTGAATTCGACGCGCTCCTTCGAACTGTCGTACGAGCACTTTACTTTGCGTGAACACACGGGATCCGCCAGCGGACTTGGAAACTCGCGGAACTGCGGATACGCTTGCGCTGTAGTTTTTTGGAACGCGTGCCTGTACAATGGTATTTTTAAGAAATTCTGTAGCGTTGAAGAGATTTTATGCGAATAAAAGGCTGATTTTATATTTTCCTGGTGACAGTGTTTCTCGTCCCGTGGGCTAATTAATTCCTTACCCGAATATTATCCCACTGTAACCTAAAAACGCGAACTATCTTTATGTATCAAGCATAAAATAAATCTCATATAACCTTGTATTACCTAATGCAACAAACATAAAATAAAATATAACGAACACCATCTAAAAATACCGAAGCAGTCGCCAATAACACGGAACAATACCACGCGAAGCTCGATAAAACGAAAAAGAAAATACGTCGACGGTAGCTCGCTAATCCACGAAAGGAAACCCAGCAACAGATGTTCAATTACCTAAATTACACCCTGCGCCGTTCTAAAGTTCGCGCTGAAAGAACGATTGTCAGCCGGTATCCACGCAACGTCTCGTGAAGACGTTAAAGGATACACGAGGGAACATTAGAAACTAGGGTGACCATTGACGCAATGGATGAAGTGGAGTCAGGAAACGTTCGTTTCCGCGGAATGATCAAAGGACCGCTCGGAGCTAGCCAGGACAAAGAACGTTTTAATCGGCGTAATATCTCATTCAGGGACATTAAAGAGTGGATCGTTCGAAGGGAGCGACCGGGAAGAAC